CAACGTGAGAGCGAAAAGCAGGAGAAACGCAGTTTGGGCATAGAGCTGTCTCACGCTCAGCCGTCTTTCTTGGGGAAAGGGGAAGGACGTGGCCAGACACAACATACTTCACTAATCTAAGCTTTTTGTTTAACCATTTGATTCTCATGGAGCCTGTGTGCTTTTGCCCCACGGTTTAATTATCTGTGTGCTTTTGCCCTGCATTTGAACTATTCATTCCTTGCCAAGTCCCTTACATCAGTGCACGGTTACTACAAGGCTAAATTCTTGTGATGAAATTCATCTTTACAGCCTTGCGTCACAGACCAATACCTGATGATGGCTGGCAGCAGGTGATGGACAAGAGAGGCCGTGGTGGCCCCTTCGTGCAGCCTGGGGTCCCCTGTGGCCAGAGGTGGCCACGCTGGGGCTTTCTCTACAGGACCGAAGCATCACGCTGTTGGTGGAGGCATTCCTTAGATTCACACGGGCCCTCCCCTCCCAAGGCTTGGATTTGCTGGCTATGTGGATATCTAAGGGCTACTGGGGGGCTGTGAGGCCCCCCAACCCCTTCAGTTACTTTCCTAGGGCTGGCACAACAAACTGCTGCAAAGTAGGTGGTTTAACAACAGAACTTTATTTTCCCACAGTTCCAGAGACCAGAAATCCCAGATTGAGGGGTGCAGGGCTGGGTCTCTCTGGAGGCTTGGAAAGTGCCCATCGAGGCCTCTCCAGCTTTAAGCTGCATCTGTCCCAGTCATCTGATAACTGCCTTGTCTGCGTGTCCCCTCCTGTCTCCTGTGTTTCCAACCAGCTGGGGGTTCTCTTGTTCAATTCAGAGAGAAATCATAAATTGTCAAGTGCAGCTCCTTTAACGTTAGCAGCTCCAGGCTTTTGGTTCCAGTAGCTGCCAGCTGTTAGTGTCACAGCTGTAAGCTTTGAGTGCCAGCACCTCTTAGCTCTTAGTGTCATAGCTCTTGATGGCTCCTGGCCTCAGCAGCCCTGCTCATGGCCCCCAACACCATTCTAGAGCTCTTCCAGCAGCTTGTGCTGTTCTCTGGGGTTCTCCACCACTCATGGCAGGGCCCTGATGGTCTGGGATCCTTGTTCTGCCACTCTCTGGAGCTCTTCGGGGCAGAGTTCTTGGTGTCAGCAGCTCTTCTTAGTGCAACCTGCTGGTCTCACTCTACACAGGATAAAAATCCTGAGCGGGCAATAGGATGAGCCAAGTGAAGCTCTCCAGGGACTCATGCTGCAGTACAAGGGGTTAAAGGCACAAGAGGAAGCCCTGTAGGCCCTTCCCAGAAAGAGTGTAGAGGATGGGCTCACACACACGGTGCTCCCTGCATTTTATGGACCTACCTGGGGACTTTGGAAGTAGTGACAAAGAGGGGAATGGGACATCTGGAGGCTGGTGGGCGGAGTCATCTGGGAAAGTTCTGTTCCAAGCCTGCCTCAGCCAGAGCAAACCTCTCCTGGAGCACCCTGGGGCATCTAAGACACCTCTGCTGTCATGGTGACAGCTTGGCCCAACTGCGAGAGAAGCAGTGGCTTGACTGACAGCTTCTGCATTTCTGCAGAAATAGTGGGGATAAAATCACACTTACCACTGCTTTTGAGGGAACTCCAGGAGAGGCTACTGTGGTCACCATGACCCTCTGAGGCTCAGGGATTTCGGGGATAGCAGCAATGGCCCCTGGTCCTCCCCATCTTTGCCCTGTTGAGCACCAGTTTTCAGCCATTCCATAGAGAGGCAGCAATGGTGGCCCAGAGTGACAGGGGAATCACTGCAGTCAGCCAAGAATGCAGCTCCTGTCAGTGCAGCATAGAGGATAGCTCCCAAAGCAACAATGGTGGTGGCAGGAAGACACTGGGGCTGGTGGCCCCATGCTACCCTCAGGGAAGCAAGGACGAGTAAGGGGACAATGTGACAGCTGTTGGTGAGACCACACCCCCTCCAGCAGTCCAAGGGAATAGGGGAGAGTGAGGTCTCATTTCCTTCTCTCTCCTAAGAACATTCCTTAGGTTGTGGGACCTCCCTAACGCAATGAGATTCATTTTGATCCCTCCTTTAATGACATCCACAAAAACCTTGTTTCCCAAATAAGGTCACTGTTACATCTAAAATGTCCCCCAAAACCTCATGCACTCCCAGGTGGGGCTTTTGGGAGGTGGCTGGTTCAGGGGTGTGTGATACTGGATCATGGGTGCATGATAACTGGATTAGTCCGCTGATTGGATTACCACAGTTCTGTGTGTGGATAATGGGAAGGCCCACCCCGGGGATGGATGGAACTAACCAATGGGTTTATAGTCTGAATGGAAGAAAAAGGGAAAGGAAGACTCACTGCTCGCTTCCTGCCTACCCTGCCATGGACTGTTTCTCTCCTCTGCTATGTTCCTCGGCCATGCTGCCCTGCCTTGGAACCAAACAACAATGGACCAAAACCTCTATAAATTCTGAGCTGCAATAAACCTTGCCTCCTTTAACTTGTGGGTGTTAGGTATTCTGTTCCAGCAACAAGAAAGCAAGACAGTCATTCTGGGGGTCTGGGTGGACACATTTTAAGGGGACACTAATCAACCCCTGTAGATAGGGGATGGGGTGAACATTCCTCAATCATCGATCCTCCAACTTGCAGGCAGCTTCGAAAGCTCCCACAACAGCCTTATCAAGGCCAGGGCAGCAAGGGAACATGGCCAATTAGTCCAGGTGGGCACCTGGGCATGGAGAGAGGGCTCAGGGCTCACAAGGGTCCTGAGGACCAGCTCAGGTCACCAGTAGATGGCCCTAAGATTGCAACAGCAGGTGGGGCTCCAGCCCCTTCCTGGGCAGGAAGGGTGCCCACATTCTGCATCTGCACAGCCACCCAGTGGACCACGCAGTCTGTCCCCACTGTGCTGAGGCCACAACAGACATAAGCCAACTATTCCTGCCCCGAGGCCCTGGGTCAGAGCTCAGCACATCCATCAGTCCCTGGGAAGGGAAGCACTGCTGGGGACACATAATGACTGTTTTCCCAGCCTCTTGTACTCTAGAATAACAATTTTTAAAAAGTGCTTTAATTTATTTCTAAATGGAGACAAACAGCATTAAATCACATCAGATGTGAGAAAGTAAAGCAGCTCATCTGGCTTTCATTTGACTCCATTTAGCTAAACGCAGCTTTCAGCAGAGTGGGAGGAGGGAGGAAATAAAATACTACACCAGAAACGCCCTTGATGGAGATGATAAGGCTCCTTTGAAAGATGGCCTCCCTTTGTGCAAGGAGAAAGCTGCTCAGCTCCAGCCTTATCAGGCTCCTGGTGGAGGCAGGGAAGCGAGGGAGAGGGGGTGCTTCCTTGCAGCTGCTTTCTCATGTAAATCACCTGAGTGAATTGCAGCGCTGGTCCATGCTAAGCATCCTCTGAGAACATTTCAGGGTTCACAAGGAAGGGGCAGGCTGTCCTCTGCAGCCTAGAGCACACAGCAACCTTAGCCTGGGGTCTTGTGCCCAGGAGACGAGCCCCCACCCCAATGCCTCTCCACGTGCAAAGGCAAAAGGACACCCAACGTCACACCCAGCTCCAGCCCCAGCACAAGAGGGGAGTGCACGGCGCCCAGGCCTAGGCCCTGCCCAGGAGGATGCCATGGAGGAGGATGGGCCAGAGAGGGGGATGAGGGGGCAGATCAGGCCTGGGAGGGAGCGAGCGGGACACAGGCTGCTGACTGAGGGCTGGGGTCAGGGCCAGAGGAGACTCCAGAGCCTCCAGCCCTGGCACCTGCTCTCCCATGCTCAGCCTGGCACCGTCTCTGGTCTGTGCCCTCGGCCCTCCTGGCTGTTCTCAGCCTTTGTTGCTCCTCTGCCCCTCCCTCCATCAGCTGCCCAGAGAGGACTCCAAGTCCTAACACCGACATCTGGGCTTCTTCACACCCAACCTCACTTTTCCATTAGCCTTCAGTGCCGCCTGACAGGACACAGCGTGCCCCCTGGTCCCTGCCTTGGGGTCCCCAAAGGCCAGTTCTGGGGGGACAGACGAGGCCCATCTCAGGAAGACACCCTGCCCTCCAGGCCGGGCCAGATGAAGCAGCGAGCAGTGCCAGGTATGGCAGGAGCGCGGCTTCAGCTAAGGTGCTTGGGCCAGGCCATTGCTCCCTCGTGGGCATGAGTGCTCCCTCATCAGCCCAGTGACACTTGTGTTCTGCCCACAGGGAGCTCGCTGCCCCTAGCCCACCTTGGAGGGACTTGGCCACCTGCTCCCCAAGCCTGGAACACTGTCTCCCTTGGGTGCCGTGGCTCCTGCTCATCAGGGTGGTAACAATGCTCCCACACAGACACCACAGTGCCACACTGTCCTGCAGGGCAAGTCCAAGTGACAGTGTGAGTGGCATTTCACCAAGGCACACATGGGAACATCATGGGCACCAACCTGGGGCATGAGAGCCTGAGCCCCTGCACGGCTGCTCTTCCAGTCTTGGCCAGATGAATAGTGGTAGGGGACTCCTGGGCCCAGGATCCGCCTCTCCAGGACAGACGCCCACCTGGCCACGAGGCCCACAGGGTCGGTGGTCCCCAGCCCAGCACCAGAAGGGGAAGAGGCACCGGTGAATTCCTGCTTCCTCTGCCCAGCAGAGCGGACGGCACCTTGGGAAGCATCTCTAGCAAGGATGAGACAGAGCCTGGGCTCCAACCTTTGGGATTGACACACACGCGAGGCCTCTCCCTGAGCCGCAGGGACAGACGGCCGGTGTCCCACTCGGGGCACCAACTGCCACCACTGACTGCCTCCCAGAGCGGAGCGTTGGTCACTGTGCACTGCCACAGGAACGCGAGCCCTGCGAGAAGCCAGCGCCCGGCACACTGGGGTCCGCACTCCCCAGTGCGGGGCCTGCCTGGGCTCTCGACTCTTCCTCCTCGGGATGCCAGGCTTCTGTGACCCAGTGGCAGCAGGAGACACTCGAGAGCGCTGTCAGGGCAGTGCGGGAAGCACAGTGTTTCTCTCAATAACTTATTAAAAACAAATGCAAAGTGACACTGCTGTAAAACACTACAGCAAATCATAGTTTATGTTCGTACAAAATCCAGTAAGAAAAATATAATTTTATCACTTAGGATGATTTATAAAATACATTTTGCTAAAAGCAAATCAAAACAAAGTTATAGACGGTGACGATCTCCCTGGGCTGGGGAGGGACAAAGTGGTTCTCATGCACACCAAGGGCAGGGCCACCACCGCCACCAGGGTTCACGCTCAGGCCTGGGATCTCGGCCCCATGGATGCGGGCAGTGTGAGCAGCAGCTCAGCTGGACGCAGCCGCCACAGAAACGACCAGGGGACACTTCCCCCCTCAGCCAGGCCCAGGCCCGGTGACAGGGCCCCAGCGCTCACTGGTAGGTGACCTTCACGCAAAAGGTCTCTTCGTTCTTGTCTTCATGGTCGTTGATATAGATCAGGATCTCTTCTTGCCCCGGCCTCCCACCTGGGGAGAACCGCAGGCCGATGGTGTAGGTCTCTCCGCCCCCCACCTGGAAAGAATGCAGAGCTGGGCCCAGCCATGCCGGCCTGCTCCTTGCTGGCCACTTCCAGATGTGTGACACAGGGTACACACGCTCCCAGCAGCGACTGTCACCCTCAGGGCATCCAGGGCCACCTGAGCTTCGGTGCCCAGAGGTCACCCCAGGCCTGAAAGGCGCAGCTCCTGATGTAGCTCAGTGTCCAGCACCCCAGGGGACCTGAGGCCCTGCCACCCCTCGGGAGAAGCTGCACCAACCTCCAGACTGACACTTTTGGACCGCCCTGGGCCTTGGTCCTTCCTGATGGGAAACGCTGAGGCTCCCAAACAGAGGAACTTCAGGACCCAGGCCCCTTGGCACAGCCTACCCCACACGTGCCCCAGGCCACTAGCGCGCACCTGGAAGGCATCCTCCCTGAACTCCAGCAGGTCCGGGCGGTCGCTGTGCAGGCGGTAGGCCCTCGGGGTCGGGTAGGGGTTGGTGTAGGTGATCCGCTTGTTAGCGCCCTTCCCTTCCCCCACTGCCATGGTGATCTCGAAGGCCTGGGGAGGAGGGCAGGAGAGCTGTAGCCATGCTCGCAGCCACTGGCACCGGGCCTTCCCCACTACTCTGAGCCAGCCTGGCATGCGCCCAGCCCAGACCCCGGGGCCCTCGGTCTGTGTAGGTGAGACAGAGCGCCCTCCGGTGCTGCCCTCCCACTAGCCACACGGAGCTGTGACACCCGGTGACTCCCTGTCGCTGACGTCACAGCAACGCCCCCGTGCCCTGGACCTGTGTGGCCCCTGTACGGACCTTGGAAATGAGTGGCTGGCGACAGGAGAGGCACAGGAGCCAGGAAGCCACCAGCTGGTGGAAGTCCACATCAACCAGGTTGAGGCGCACGAAGCGGCTGCCAGCCCTGCGGGGCTGCACGCCCACATGCAGGTCCTGCACCCCATGGGGGGGCAGCAGGAAGTCACCTGCAGGGTCCATCTTCAAGGGCAAGACAATGGTCAGCACGCAGCCCCTCCGCTCCAGACAGCAGCCTCCCTGCGTCCAAGCCCCGCTCCCCGCTGAACCCACAGGTTTGACTCCTCGGCCTGGCAGGGGCCCAGACCTCAGGCCTCTACCTTCCCCGCCCCACCACGCCCTGGTTCCCACGCAAATCCCCGCTCAGAGCTGTCACAAGAACAGTCGGGCAGCACCTCGACAGCCGAGGGACCCGCGCCCTACGGTCCTACCTTCAGCTCCTGGGGGTGGGAGGCGAAGGCTCTCACTTTCCTGACAGTCTGCGTCCCCCGGAGGACAAGGGACAGGCGAGTCACCTGGCCCGCGACGCAGGAGACATCCACACGCTGCAGGGAGTGGAGGCAGACCTGCCACGTCTGCACGGGTGCCGCCAGCCAGCGATCCCTGCAGAGGGGAGATGAGGTCCACACCCGCCCAGGCCCCGGGCACCAGCCCAGCGCCGGGACTCCCAGGTCTACTGGAAGATGCTGCGGGGACACAGCCTCACGGTAAGGTGGTCACAAGGCCCATTCAGTGACCTGTTTGTGGCGTGGAGATGAGGGGGCGCAGCCCTCGCCCCTCCTCAGAAGCCATGCAGCGAACCTCCAGGCCCCGGTTTTAAAGGCCTGTGAAGGGCTGGGAAACAGAGCTCCGAGGACAGTACAGGGGCTGCACTGGGGACTCAACCAGGAGAGAGAATTCCAGGGACCACTCGGTCACCACCTTCAGGTGCACAGGAGCAGCCATGCAAATCCCCCAAGGGCTAAAAGGAGAGCCATGGTCCCTCCCGGCCCTGGCTGGGCACAAGTCGGCTTGCCCTTCCACTGGAGGGCTCGAGGTGCAACCCACGTCCCTCTGGCCACCTGTGCCACCCTGGAGCTGGGGATGGCCCCTCCGGGCCCTGGGCCCCAGCCCTCAGTGCAGAGACGCAGGCTGTGGCTCCAGAGCAAAGGCACGGTCACCTGCCCTGCATCTGGGACAGAATGGGACATGGGGGGGATGGCCCCTGCCCCCTCCCTCCCCCACCCCTCCCCCTCCCCCTCCCCCCCCAGCTGCCTGCTCTGCTGCGCTTGTGCACTTACGCATAAATGGTAACAAAGAAGTCTTTGATCTCGGGGCTGGGACCACTGGCCACCTTCAGAAACACATCCCGGGGTTCCCTGGGGCCCTGTGCACAGATGCAGAGCGTGTCGGCACCAGTGCCACCTCTCACTGGGTCTGGCAGGGCCCAGGCTGGGGGTCCTGGCAGCTGTGAGTCCCGCCCCTCCAGTGTGCTCACTCCTGCACTAGCGCCATTCACTGCTTTGTTCATTGCAAGAGAAAATCATTGGCTTCTTGATTTTATATTGATTTCAATAATTACATTCTACAGATTCTATCTGGCTTCCTAACCTGTCATAATACAATTATTGCTGTTATCCTTAGCACAATGGCAATTAATAAGCACCTTAATTGCCGTTTCTTAACATCTGACTGCAGAGAGCCGATCCGCCGGCAGAGAAAACAGGACTCGTTCGCGGAGCTCTCAGGGCCACGTCCAACACCCTCGGCATGGGAAGAAGTATGTCGCCCGATGCCAGGACAGGCGGCTGCCAGAGGCCGGAGGGGACCACTAGGGAGGACCCGCCTGAGGGGCCAATGGGACGTACCACATTCTGGGCCTCGCAGATGACATTTGGGTCGCTGCACCGCACGTGGACTGCTGGCTCCTCCCCTGGTCTTCCCACAGGAGCTCCTGGAACAGGGAGCGGGGACCGTGCCACCACCTTACCCCAGCGTGGCACGCATGCAGCGTGGCAGCTGCAGGGATGTGGACGAGGGTGCCACCTGACCCGCCACCCACAGGGGTGAGGACTAGGAAAATGGAAGTGGCCTCTAGGGCAGAGCTAGAACATGCTGAGCTGTCGTGAGGAAGCGGCGTCCCCAGCACAAGCCTCATGTCCCATGTCCCACGTGACTTGAGGAGTCACCAACATGCCAGCTCTGAGGCAGCACAAAGCGTCCATGTCAAGCTGCGAGAGCAGGTGGCAGGAATCACAGCCCCCTGTGGGGGTGGCAGCGCCGTGCTGCCTTTCGCTTTAGGGGAGACGGACGCCCGCTCCACTAGGCTGAACCCGACATTGCCAGCTGCAGGGACAAAGGCACCTGCCTGGAAGGGTGTGCCAGGGAGGCAGGCGGATGGCCTTCTTCAGGAAGGTGAGCTCCGGGTGGTAGAAGCGGAAGACCTGGTTCACCATGTGGGGCTGGGGCTCCACAGTCAGGCAGAGCACGGCCAGGGGCTTGCCGCCACTCACGCGGAACAGGACCTAGGGACAGCGGCAGCCCCGGTGTTAGGACAGGCATGCGCGCCTGTGGTGGCTTCTCTGTCTGAGCTAAGCTGGCAGGGGAAAATGTTCTTCCCAAAACTTCTGGGCACAAGGATGGGGTGGCTGGGGCTCCCCGCGCATTGAGAGGGAAGAGCTAGCCTCAGGCTTAGGCCAAGCGTGAGACAAGGAGCAGACAGCTCCCTCCGCAAAGCCGAAGCCAAACTCCACGGGAGGGAGTAAAGCAAGGCCTGCCTGGCGAAGTCTCCACTCAGACTTCACTGAGCTGTACTGGGGACAGGGAGTGGCCAGTGGCTGCCCGCAGGCCCTTGTCACCCAGCCCTGCCCCAAGCTCGAGCTCAGCCAGGATCCCTAGGGAAAGGTTCACCGAGTCCACACAGAGGACTCCTGGCTCACAGCACAGCCCGGGAACGCCAAGGACGTCCCCTCTGCCCCTTTACCTTGGCATGTTTAGTGGGCGTGGCACCAGACTTCCAGGGTGCTCCAGCATCCCTGCCCCGCTCGGCCCTCAGCTCGGTGGAGGCCTGCAAGAAGCCGGTCAGCACAAGCGGTCACAGTATGGACCATGGCGACCACCACCGTCTCCCTGACCAGCCTCGTCCAGCAGGCAGGAAACAGAGCAGTCTGTCAGGGACGCGTTTCAGGGATGGATTCAGGGTGGTCCCCACTCCACCTGCCGTCGCCTCTGTCCTGCGGCCTGGCCACATAGCCAGAGCTGCACAAGAGCTCAGGCAGAAGCTGCAACACGCACCCTGCACCCCACACACACCTGGTGAGGACCCCCCCACCCCAGGCCGAGTCTGCACGCGGCAAACGGGTGAGGGTGAGGCGCTGAACCTCTCCTCCCAGCCCTGCCCAGGTTTACAAGAGGAGCCGCTCCTTCAACCCTGTCCCCGCAGAAAAGGACCAGGATGGCGACACACAGGTGCAGAGAGCCTGCTGAGTGACAAGGGGACAACAGGGACTAAGGGACATGCCACCCCTGCAGACCTGGGGACGCTGAGACCGAGAACGGGGACGGAGGGTCCCACTCTGCCCATGCCCAGCACCTGTGCCAGCTCTGGTGGGCCCACGGAGAAGCTCTGGTACTTGAAGGGGACGTGGACGGTCTCCCGGGGGCGCAGGTAGAGCTGGGGGGTGAGGTCGCCGCGCAGGTGGAACACGTCCTCCTCCAGCGGCGTGTGCAGGCCGGCGGCGTCTTTGAAGTACCTCCACTCCCGGCTGTCCAGGATGAGGCTGCACCAGAGCACGGCGGTGAGGAGCCGCGCAGCCCCAGCGGGAGAGGACGGGCAGGGCGTGAGCAGACGCAGAGCTGGCCCCACCTGCCACAGACGCCCCGGTCAGGCCGGGCCAGGCCTCTCACCTGAGCTCGGGGTTGTCGATCTCGATGGACACCGTGTGCTGCGTGTTGTGGGGGTTTTTCAGGGCGAACTCAAAGAACTCGGCCGTGCCCAGCGTGGCGTAGAGCGTGTGCTGCGTGGTGATGGCCAGGCTCAGCAGGCTGGCGATGCTCTCCGCCTTGGTGCGCTCCCGGTAGGCGTCGATGACCTGCAGGTCCCGGGAGTGCTGCATACGCGCGCTCTGCTGGGCCTGTGGACACGAGGGCCCGCTGGGGACAGGCTGGGCACACGCCCCTCCCCGGGGTGCCATTTCTTCTGCTCCTTTCTTGGCCGTGCGGTTGGGGGGCGGGCCACTCCACTCCCAGGGCCTTAGCTGCCACTGGAGCAGGGCAGGGGGCCGCCTCCCCTCCCCCTGGAGGTCCCTAGCACCCTAGCACCACTGCCCCTGGGGGTGGGGTCTCCCCCATGCTCCCAGGAGGCCTCCCCGAGCAGCGCGCTGCCCTGTGAAGCGGTGGGCATGGGCTCTACCCTGGAGCCCCTGGGGCAGTTGCGGTGCTTCACACACAGGCAGCCCTGAGGTACCGAGACCCAGGGCTCCTCCTCAGCACCCTGCAGCTCCTTCCTCCTGCAAACCCTGGGTGCAAACTCTCTCTTCCTCACTTCCTTCTTTTTTTCCCTTCTAGTACTGGGGATTGAACCTAGGGCCTCTGCACTGAGCTACATCCCCAGCCCTTTATTTTTTCTTTTGAGACAAAAACCTCACTAAATTGTTCAACTGCCCAGCCTGGAATCAGACTTGTGACCCTCCTGCCTCAGCCTCCCAGAGCGCTGGGATTACAGGCGTGCACCACCCCACCCAGCTGCCCTGCCTTAGTTGCAAACTATTAAAGGGTCTATTTCGATGTGCAGAGAAACGAGGGGATCCTTCCAGTCAGAGTGATTACACGACCCAAGGCACGGGAACTCAGCCCGGGCCCTCAGGTTTCTTAAATCCTTGGCTCCGAGGGCTCCACCAAGCCAACCATGAGCCAGCTTCTCACCCTGGTGACTCAGAGTCCCGCTGTCCCCTCTCCTTGCACCAGGACTGGGTAGAGGGGGTGAGGGGACACAGCTCGCGAGGACCTGGCCTCTGGAGGCCTGTGCTCGGAGGCCCTCACCAGCACGGCCGTCCTGCGGCTGACGGGCTCCGCCCCCGACTCCTGCAGGCGCACAGACCGCATCCTCTCCAGCTTTCGCCTGCGCACAGCGTCCACCTCGCGGCCGCTGCTCCAGGGTCCCCGGCCGCCCAGCGCAGGGGTCAGCAGCATGGCGGCCAGCTCGCTGTCCACGTCGGCCAGCCTCTGCGCCTGGACCACGTTCCTCCCTGCCGAGGGCCAGATGAGGGGTCGGGGTGGTGCATGGCGTCCACGCTGTGCTAGCGGACAGGGCACCTGCACCCTCCTCCTAGGGCAGGCCCGGCTCTTCGACAGGTCTGCTCTGTGCAGCTCCGAGACGCGGCTGAAGATGGGGACTGGAGTCTGAGCTCCATGACGCCCCCCCCTGCCGGCCTCTCACTCAAAAGAGGTCTGATCCTGGCTGCCCGGGACCAAGGCCTCGGCTCGGGCAGCCCCTCCAGGGAGCCCCTGAACCCCCACTCCACACCTCCACCCGCCCTGCTCACTGGGCGGGGCTTGGAGCTCTCAGCTGCCTCCAGTGACTGGGTCCCCACGCCACCTCGTGCCCGGTGAGCTCGAGCTCAGGTCAGGAACCAGGCTGCAAGGGGCCCCTTGGCCTGGGCCTCCCAGCAGGGCCCCAGCTGACCCCGGGCTGCCTGAGCCCCAGGGCAGCCCCGATCCTCTGCGAGTGGCTCTACTCCAACCCAGGACACAGGAGAGGCGCTCAGCAGGTGAGCAGCCCTGCCCCACGCCTGTCCCCTCTCCCATACTGCTGGGGTCCCAGGAACTGTGCTCAGAGACAATACCACGTCCCAACTGACAGTCTAGGTAAGGTGGGTGATAGAGCGAGCACGCTAGCCTTGGGCCTGGTTCCCCCAGAACTCTGGCACCACCAGAAGTTTCCCATGGGAAGCCATGGATCCCCAGGCAGCTCCACTTCCGATCAGCAGGCATCCATGGCCTCCCAGAAGCCATTTCTCTCCCTGCGGCTCCCTCACCACAAGGACACAAGTGCCATCTCCAAGCCTCGCCTCTGCTCCATTTTAAAGCCATTTAATTGCTTTTTTGATGCTAGGAGCCAATTTAGACATCTTCAGTCACTGCCCAGGAAGAGCATTTGTGGTATTCGGGTGCAGCCTGGAATCAGGTTTGAGACGCCCATGCCTCGGCCTTGTGGAGGGGCTGGGAGGTTCAGGATGAGCTCAAGTGTTCGGAAAGCATCAGCCCCACGAATGCCTCTCCCGGCTCCAGTGGAACCGGAAATGAGGCTCCAGGGTGACCAAGCTCATGCCTGCTGAGAAGCAGGGCACACTGGAGCCTTCTTAACATTCTGCAGAACCTCTGGTCCCAGAGCCTCTCTAGAGAACGCCTCCCGGCCACTCCTCTCAGCAGGTCCTCACTGGTGCCGCCCCCTGGGGTCACTGAGCCCCAACCTGCACCCTCCGGATCACAACTTTCTGGGCTTGGGGATCCAGGTTCCCGTCCAAGCTCACCACCCTTCCCCACATCACTGGCCAGGTCACCTCGGCTCACTCCGCCTCACTCTATTTGACATTAGGATGAGGGCGGAGGCCCAGAACAGATGACATGCCTGGGTCATGAGTGGCCTGCTGCACCAGCTGAGCATGCGGCCCCTCTCCCTGAAGCCCCCAGGACCGGATGTGTGGGTCCCCGAGATTTAAGACAGGACGAAGAGGCCCTGTCCCCTCCAGCAAGCTGGAGCCCAGTCCAAGGCCAGTGGGGTCTGAGGCCCAGCCACACGACACAGCTCAGGCCAAGCTGGGATTCACATAGGCGCTGCCACATCTGGGGGAAGCTCTACCTGAAGAGCGCTTCCTACCTCTAATGCAAATGGCCTGTGGGCTCTTCAGTTTTAAGGGGACAGAAAATCTCCAGAGCTTCCCTGCTGTAGAAAGTATTTTCACCCACCCAGGTCTTTCGCTCCCAGACCCAAATCTTTCTTCCCCAAGCTCCGAAACTGGTTAGGAAACCAACAGGGAGTTTCAAACCCATGTTTGAAAATCAGTCCACGTTCGCCCTGACCTTTCCCTTGTTTCCCTTCTCTGTGGTGGCAGCAGAGCACACACAAGGCCACCAGCAGCACTGTGTCTCTGTGAAATAACAGCCAGCTGCCTGGTCCCCACATGGAGGGACACGGAAGTCTGCAGCCTACAGGACACAGGGCCACTGTCAGGTGCCCCAGATGCAGAGGGCGGTGGACCACACACACGCACACACATGCACACACATGTGCATATGTAAGCTTCCATCCCTCACACATGCAGTTTGCCACCACCCGTGTGGGCCAGCGGCACCCACTCACGTCTCTGGCTTCCCAGCGTGAGGAGGCTGCCCCCAGGGAAGCGGCTGGCTCCGTCGTTCGAGATGACCCGAGATCTGGACGGTGGCAGCGAGCAGGATTCTTTCGCTCTGCGTTCACATGCGTGACCTGAATGGGAAGTGCCTGGTGTGAGACCCTGAGTCCAAAGGGGCGCAGGCAGAATGGATCGGACCTCCGGGAGGTCTGGCCCGTGGTGCCATCGACCCCCTCAGACCACCAGTGACCCCTGTCCCTGCCTCGCTGCTCAGAACACATCTTGTAAGGAGAACAGCAAGATGTTTCTCCTGGATCCTTTCATCAGTAGGTTTGTACCCACTGCCGGCACTGAGTCGCCCCTTGCTCTCTGGCTCCCATGCTGTTCTGTCCTAATTACCATGCTGGGGGTCTCTGACCTGCAATCTCAGCCTCTTCTAGCAGAGGGCTGTTCAAGGTCAGGCCTGGCCACATGCACACCTGAGGGCAAAGAGCCTGCCCAGGTGTATTCCCACACAGCTGTCTCCCTAATGCAGGCAGCAGCACGGCCTCGGGACGGCACATCCACAGAGCAGACACCACCATGGCCACAGCTGCACCAGCTGGACGGGAGCGCTGTCCAGGAATATGCAAAGGGTCATGAACCCAGGGGGCGGTGCCCATCCCGCACACATGTCTGTGAGCACTCACAGTGACATGCGGGCTGTCAATTTCCCCAAGCCCATCAGGGTGGAGTCAAACACTCGCAGGCCTGGGGATCCTGGCATCTTTCTGGGCATCTCAGCAGCAGGAGCCCCTCCCTGCCTGCAGCTCTGCTGTTCTCAGGGCCAATGCAATGCTGGGTGTTCCGAGGCTATGTGCCTGTGCAGGCAGGGCACACCCTCCACCCAGCCCAGGAGCGGGGTGACAGCTCCAGCTGCCTGGCAGACGTATCTCCCTACAGCAGCTCTGACCTGAGCTGGACTGGGCAGGGTGCCATCCTCCCCAGGGAGCCCAGCAGGATGTCTCCTGGGGCCCTGGCCAGGCATCCTCAGCCCCTCCAGGCCTGAGGGAACAGTGGCCAAATTCCTGATTCTGAATGACAGCTGGTGACTTGAAGGCACAGGGGCAACAGCAGGCCATGCCCCCAGAAAGACTGGTATGTGCAAGCCCAGATGTGTGGGCAGGGGAGGCAGGCCCTGCAACTGCAGCACACAGAGCAACTCCAGCAAAAGCCTGGGGCCCACGAGCTGACGAGACAGCACGTGCAGGGTCCCTTCCGTCCAGGCTGGTCATCTGGGGTGCTCCCTGTGACTCTCCTCCCTGTCACACAGCCCTGCAACTGTCTCCTCCCCAGGTCCCTCAAAAATCACAGCTCCAAAGGCAACTCTGGAAGGTGCTGGTGCTCAGCTGCCTCCTCCAGCTGTTTCACGAGCCAGATGCAGATTCCCAGCCTGGGGCCTTCCCCAGGGGCACTGCAGGAGAAGAGGACAGACATCCTCTCAGACCCGAGGCTCCAGGAGCCTTGGGTGGAGCTGGAGCACGCCCAGACACGCTGGGAACACAGCTGGGGCGCAGCTCCGTCCACTGCCTCCCTGCAGGCTCCCACAGGCGTCACCCGCAGCCAGCACACACTCCCCAGGCTGATAGAGAAATAAAGACCACAACTCTTTTTTTTCTCAAAAAATGCAGCGTTTCCAGAGGAAGGCCAAGCACAGCGGTGTGGAGCACCTGTCCGTGGGAGCAGCTCTCCCGACCGCCGCATACAAGTCCCGTCCGGGCACTGCCTATCAGCCTCTGCTTCCCACGGGCTTATCTCTCTCTTGCAGGCAAAGTATGGAAATGACAATTTAAGATAACAGAGAACGGGGCCCATCTTTCTTCTGAAGATAAGATTTTAGGACCTGGAGTCACTGCACATCTGTGGACTGGTGCATTAAATACAAAATCACTGCTGCGGCCCAGGGAGCAGGACGCCCCGCACGCACGCACGCACGCACGCAGCTCCTGAGGAGCGTCTGCCCCCACACGAGGCTCATATTATTTCTTCGGAACCTAATTGAGTTTTGCTGTTTCCATATTGTCTATTTTGCGGCTGCCTCGGATTCTACATTTGTAAACAAGCAGGCAGAACCTCGGCCGGACTTAATGAGCTATGCCCCGCTCCACTGCCACCACGCGGCCCTGCCACCCTGAGCTGTCCCACGAGGGCAGCGGACGTGGGCCTCGGGCCTCTGGGATTGAAAACCGGGTGGGGTTCAGGGGAGTGGAAAATTCCCTGGTAAAATGACAGAGAGCCGAGTACCCTCCTCACAGACAGGGCTCCAGAAACTTCCAAGGACTCGGCCCCATTGCATCTTGCACTTTGCCTGCCCAGAAGCCCCCACGCATTTCTGAGCGCCCTCCAGGGAGGGGCAGCGGGTGTCACGAGGTCCAGCATCTCTGCCCCGGGTGGGTGCAGCAGCCCCTGGCTTTAGGCCGAGACGCCTCTGACCTCTCGATTGAGGAGTCCAGGACAGGACTGGCCCACCCACGCCCGCCCACAGCCAGACACCATCGACCCGAGGTCACAGTGCTCTGAGGAAACACTCCACTCGGCCGGGCCGCGCTGAGTGAATCCTGCTGGTTTCCCTCGTGTGCGTGACGCTCTGGGCTCCACTGCCCGGTGCTCCAGCTGGGGAACGCGTGGTCGCCACACTCACCCACGTTGGCCAAGGTCAGATGCAGCCGGCCCTGCACCACCGTGTGGACCCCGATGGGCTTGACACTGCCGAACCCAGACACCGGGGTGTCCTGCTCATACTCGGTGGCCACGACTTCCAGCTGGTGGGCAACCTGCACGGCTGGCCGGCCTTGGCGGAGGAGGTGCTGCGGAGGAGAGAGCACTCGTGCGACCGTGCCCCACAGCCAGGTGGCCCTGCAGGGGGACAGGGCCGGCGCCCAAGCCAGCGGGAAGGGCCGCGGAGATGGGGGAGGGGTGGGAGTAATCAAGAGGGACCCATGGCCAAGGCTACTTAAAAACCGAGTCTTTAACACAGGTCTTTCCCACAGACTCTAATAAAGAGCAGCTCCGCTCAACTGCACGGAGCTGCCTCCCCTGCCCACACATCGGGGCTTGCACGTGCCAGTCTTTCTGGGGAGGAGAGGCCATGGAAGGGACAACAGGACAGGCAGAGACCCTGAGCCTTGGGTGTCCAGGACCGAGACCCGGGCTGGACATGCAGGACAAAGCTGAGCCCGTGCTGGGCAGAGGCTGCAGACCAGGCCCGGTGCCCAGCAGAGCTGGGAGTCCAGGGAGGGTGGGCCAGACCAGGGGCCAAGCAGGGGCCAGAGCAGGGGCCCAGGGACCACACAGGGGCCAGAGCAGGGGCCCAGGGGCTGCACAGGGGCCAGAGCAAGGGCCGCGCAGGGGCTGCGGGGCTGGGGCAGATGGTGAGGAGCTCCATGCCAGGCGGGGCGGCCTAGGCAGGGTGAGCACAGAACACACATGACCCTGGCCACCAGGACTCTTCACCACATACATGCCCTCTGCATGTCACAGGCCATCGCAGACCTCTGCCTGAGCCCTGATTCGGGGGGACAGGGCGGGATCACGGGCTCCCGGCTGCCCTCTCTGGACTGAGTTCCCTGGCATGTTAACAGAAGATGGGGGCCCGATTAAGGTCCCGGTGTTTGCAATTCTTGCTTCTGTGTCTGGGAGCAGAGCCGCCCTGCCCTGAGCCCCCACGGAGGGCCTGGGGTTTCCTGTCCCCGGCAGCCTACTCGGCCAGCGATGCTCATGCACACTGCCCGCCCCACCAACTCCGTGTACCCCTTCACCCCCGAACACAAGAGGGTTCCTTCGGCCTAAGGCCAGGAGTTATAAAAAACAACGTTCAGCCTCACTGGGAAGCAAGGAAGTCAGAGTGAGAACAAGGCGTTGAGTGGTAAACGCAGGGGAGCCAGGACACCGCCCTCTTGAACTGGTCCTACGGGCAAGGGGGCCTCAACCACTTGGGGAGCAGAGCAGTGAGGAATGCGGGCTGGAGTCGGAACTGGCTAAGAACCCAGCTCCGATTGCACTTAGCGTGGCCTGGCTTCCAGCCCAGCATTGGGTGAAAGGACTCTCACAGGGGAGACCACCCTGTCCCCAGCGGGGATGGCAAAGAAGGACAAGGGCTGAGGGACAAGGCCAACCCCAGTGGAGACCACCGCCTTCTGCCTGGCTCCTCAGCACAGCACAGCATCAGGACCATGCTGGACACACAGCAGGGACAACGCCAGGGACCAGTCGGGAGGGAAGGCGGGAGGCACGTGGTACACATGGGGAGAAGGCGCAGAGATCCGGGGTCTCCCTGCTGCAAGGCTGCCAGGTTGGGGGGGCATGGCCAAGTCAGGCAGGCTGGAAGGGGACCAACACTGCCAGCCAGCGAGGCCAGTGTGGCTGGTCTCAGGGGGACATGCACCAAGCCCTCCCACCGGGCAGGAAGCTCACTACCTTCATTGGGACAGCGGCCGATCCAAGAAGGAGCAGCGAATCCCCGTCCCAGACGTCGATCTGCAACGTGTGCACGGCCAGGTAGCGGAGGAACCAGCGCTGCTCGCCTGGCTTCAGGAACTCGGGGCCCACTGCATACCTCAGCTGCAAGCCTGGGGGCCCTGCAGAGGAGGCCCCAGTTGAGTCTGGGAGTAACTGGAGTCATTTATCACCTTTACACTTTGAAGCAGTTTCTGCTCTGGTCATGATTACTAACTTCTGCTTCCGTCATGGCGACAGTTAATAAACACATTCATCAAAAACACCATAAAATACCCAAATTAACAAAACCAAGTGTGCATTTGGAAGACTACACTGCTTCCCCATACACACAGTGAAGTCCCACAGCAGGATTCCTGGCTTTCACCAACTCCTGGAAAAGTCTACGACGGATGGGAACAGGTGCCCTGATGAGACCCCAGGGCCAGAGTGGAGGGGGAAACGTAGCTACATCTGCTGTCCAAACTGGCAGGTTCACACACAGATACACACACAGCACACACACACAGCTCACAGAGACCCAGCTCTGAACCTGCCACGTGGGAAGCCTGCCCTAAGGTGGACAGACAGATGGACAGGGCGCACATGCTTCATTCTAAATTGGCAGAAACACCACTGAAAGCATCCCTAGGTAAAGCGCAGGGAACAGCGATGCTGGGAAACACATTCCAAACATTTTCCCTTTGCTGTCAGTAACGGCAGCTGTACTTAGGCAGGGCCCAGCCCCACCTCGGAGGGGGCACAGTCTGCTCCACCCGTTGGCTGGGGTCTGCAGAGCCTGGCCACAGACCAGGTGACAGTGCCTGCACTGGGGGGGGGGGCAATGGCGGGGACAGGGCCACAGCCTGAGACCCAGGCCCAGCTGTGAGGGCTCAGGGCAGTGGGTGTGGAGGCCCAGGGGCCCCATAAGCAGCCTGAAGGACGATGGGCAGGGCCCAGGGGAGCTGGCAACACCGAGAACACCGCAGGCAGATCCCCAGGCCCCGCTGGCCGGCGCTGCACTCTCAGTGCCCTGCGCTCCAGGCCAGCGCCCAGCGCGCAGCACACATCCCATCCCGAGGGAGCCCTGCACCGGCCCCTGGGGCACCAGCGCCCTGGGTCACGGAGGATGGGCCAGCACCGCCCGCCTCCACGAGGAGGACCCCAGCAGCACACGGGACCTCCATGGTGGCACCGGGTGGCGCTCTCTGCCCACCTTGCCCGCTGACCCTCCGCCCTCCCCACCAGCTGGCTGCCTGCCCCACCGCCACCTGAGCCCTCCCTTCCACGCTGCCACTCACTCCACACAGCCGGCCCTGCACGAGACCAGCACACACAGGGGCCCGGCTGTGACCGCAGGCGCACTGGGCATTGCCGAGGGGCGGGCGGCGAGGACTGCCCGGGGTGGCAGTCTCGGCCCCTAGGAGAGGCCTCCACTCCCCACTGCAGGCGCAGACGGCTGACTCCCTGTCGCAGGGGCAAACAGCTCTTCGGTGGCCGTGCCCGAGACCAGGCTCCCTACAGTCCGCCAAGTGCTGCCCAAGGGACCACACAGGACACCCACCCGCTCCCAAGCACCCTCAGCACCAAGAACGCGGCTCCGTCCTCCCCACACCTGCCACCCTCACAAACCACCGCTCTCAAACTCCTCCGGCCCTTCGCAGGCACCCACAGCCACGGGATGATGGACACTTCACAACGCTAACATCCAGCTGGGCGCTGTGGTGCACGCCTGTCATCCCACCACTTTGGGCGGCTGAGGCAGGAGGAGGATGACAAGCCCAGGCCCAGCCTGGGCAACTTGGTACTTAGCAAGATGGTGTCTAAAAATAAAAAGTACAGAAGGCCTGGGGATGCAGCTCAGTGCGAAGGCTCTAGGTTCAATCCCAAGTTCCAGGAAAAAAAACAAAACTAACACTTGTCATTGTGGAAGAGCTGTCAAGATCTACATAGCACATAAACTGGGGACCCGGGGATGCAGGGGAACGCAGCAATGGTGGGGAGCGGCCACCCCCATCCAAGGGCAGATCCAGTGAACAGGAAGTGAGCGAGTAAGGGTGCAAAAGACTGTGCCCCAATAACGCAGAATACATCTTTGCAAGTACATCTGCTACATTAATAAAAACCAACGGTAACTAGGTCACAAGGAAAACCTGAGTGCATTCCATAAGGCAGAAATGACACAAATGACGTCCTCTGATCACACTGCAATAAACTAGGAATCAGTGACAAAATTCTGAGAACAGTTACACAACTTACTCATAAACAACAATGTCAAAGGGCAAACACAATCCTAGAAGATTTTCCACAGGCGACCATGATGAAAATACAACTTGTCAGAATCAACGAAACACAAAGCAGTCATCAGGGGAGCTCGCTCCCCTGACCACTGTGAACACAGGGACCAGATGCAGGCACTACACAGCTAGAGAAAACCAGGCCCATCATAATAAATACTAAAAGAGAGGAGAAAGAAGGAAACAGGAAAGGCAGACAAAGCTTAATTAACTAGAAAACAACAGTAAAACCCAGAGGCAGTGAACCCTAGGACTCCTCAGAGTCCCCGGACTGGAAATGACCCTGTGGGAAGCGGCCTCGCTGCTGGCCAAGACACTTCCCCCAAACTTTCAGCTGTAGATGCAAGGGCTGCGACAGGAACTGGCCACCCACGCCTGCCGGGCACAGAGACAAGGGCGTGCCTCAGTGGGCACTAAACAAGCGAGAAAGAGTCCTGTGGCTGCGGCTGGCTCGCTGGAAATGAAAAGGCGGAACACTGCCTGGACAGAGGGCAGAGAGGCTCAGGCCAATGCCAGGCTCAGCCAATGATGGCCCAGGGGCTAAGAATGCTTTTCACATTTTTTTAAAAGTTACTTTAAAGGAAAAAAAGGAAGAAAATGTGACAGAGATCACATGTGGCCCAGAAAGCCTAAAGTGTTGACTATCCATCCTTAACAGGAAGAGTTTGCCAACCTCTGCTCTAATCCAGAAATAAATCCAAGTATTCAGAAAGGTTGTTTCTGATAAGGGTGGCTCTCAAGGCACTGGGGAAACATGGACGTTTTAATAAATGGCCCTGAGCTAGTTAGATAGACATCTAAACAAGGTAACACTGGCTCCATGCCTCCCATCTACAGCAGCATAAACTGCAGAGAGACCAGAAATCTCCTGTAAAAAGTGAACCCCAGGGCCAGGGATTTAGCTCAGTGGTTCCGCTGCCTGCCTTGCAAGCGCAAGGTCCCAAGTTCGATCTCTGGTACCAAAAATCAAAAAGTGAGACCCACAAGTCCTAGAAGAAAACACATCTGAATCATTCCATGAGGGAGGAGAGGAGAAAGCCCTTCTATCAAAACTGAAGAACCTACAAGCAATAAAACACGGACACACTAGACTACGTGAAAATAAAATTTCTATATAGCAAAATCCCTCCACAAGCAAAGTAAAAAGACAAATGTCAAAGCAGGGAAACCTGTTTGCAATACATATCATAGATGAAGTTAACTTCCCTAATAAATAAAGGGCTCCTTGGGCCGGGGATTTAGCTCAGTTGGCACCATGCCTGCCTTGCAAGCACAAGGTCCTGAGTTCGATCCCAGGTACAAAAAAAAAAGGAAGGAAGGAAGGAAAGACAGACAGAAAGAAAGAAAGAAAGAAAGAAAGAAAGAAAGAAAGAAAGAGCTCCTGGAAACAGAGGACAAGAAAGACCAAGAGCCTGAGAGAAAAGTGGGAAAGAATGGATAGAAGTTAGAGATAAACAAAGACCAACAAAGAGGGGCTCAACTTCACTGAAACCAAGTCCACGTCTAGCAGCTATGAAATCCCCAAACTGAACAGTCACTATGAGGGCGAGGCCTCCCAAAAACAAACTGGGGTGACAGACAAAGGGGCAGAGCCTGCCAGAGCAGAGGCCGTGTGACTACATTGTCAGACCACTGCCAAGGTCCAGAGATGGGTGGGCTCCTGTGCTGGACACGGGGTCCCCGGGGTGCAGAAGGGTCCAGCAGAACCTTTCACTGCACAGTCAGAGGCCGTGGGATTACCACTTCCCCCTCAGAAGGGATTAGTTCTGGTCTTGTAGAGTGAGTGAGCTCTCAAAGAGTAAGATGGTATAGAAAGAGCCAGACTGGAGCTAAATCCCTCAGGCTTCCTGGCTCACCACGGGACATCTCCCTCACCATTGTGGTGTTCCTGCCACACTGAATCCGCCATGATGGACGCACCCGCCAGGATGGACTCAGCCAGAGGCTGAGCTGATGAGGTCACACCATCTCCAACTTTAGCCTCCAGCATGGTGAGCAGAATGAACCTCTTCTTTATACGTTACTCACCCTCAGGTATGAGCTCGTATTTTGGGGAAACCAACAGAAGACAGCCTAAGACAATCACGAAAGCCTTTGACTCTGTAATCCTACTTCTAGAGTCAGCTCTACTGGGTTACTAACTACTGCTCTGTGAGACAGCAGAATACTAGAAATGACCCAAATGCCATCAGTAAGAGATGGGTTGAATAAACAGCAGAACATCCACCTATGGCAGTATACATAGCCATAAAGAAGATGTGGGTGACTTCCATGTGGAGTGAAGTATAACAGATGTACTGTGAGCTAGAAAAAGATGCAAAAGACTGTACTTGCTATGCTACCTACTGAAGAAGAATAAAATGGGAAATAAAAAAACATTTTTTTTTAAACCCTAGAAGGATAAACTAGAAACTAAAAACTTCCAACAGGCTGAGCAAGTGGGGCTGAGCAAGAGAGACAGGGTGGCCGGGAGCGTCGAACATGCATTTGATTATAGTTTTATATTTTGAGCCTTAATTTGATTTAAAAATTGAATCAGAAAGGAAGGAAAGCAAACATAAAATTGAAAACAAATTGAAACAAATGAATCCTACTGAATGTCAAATTCCTAACGTAATTCCACAGAGAGAAGACTTATTTTGAGGACTTCTGGTCATACTACAGCAGCAGAGTGCAGACAAAGTCCAAGACAGAATTGCAAAGAACTTTTGTCCCACCAGGACCCACACTGGGGACATTAACATAGCAGTGTGACTCTGAAAATACGTGACCATGACCTGTGATTTTCTGTGGAAGAGAAACACAAATAAAATAAGGGAATGTCACGACTCTAAGTCTGAATGAGA